TCTGGAAACTGATAATAGAAAACAGAAAACATATTTACTAGCACAGTTTTTCATTTTAAAAACTGAAAATAATTTTCCAGTTTTCTAGAAAACTGTAACACTCTTAAAAACTATTTTTTAAATGAAAAATATAATCATCTATCATCTATTTAGTTATATGTCACTATAACCACATTACTATGATTACATTTATTACTATCTTATTTTACTTATAATTATCTATTATCTTTTCTACTTGCTTTACTTATTTAAACATAACTTATTTGTTTACAATTTAAAGTTAAACATTATTTACTGGCCTTGCCTAACTTAACCAAAATTTTAATCAAGCTAGATCGGCCTATACTACTACCAAAATTTAAACATTATTTAAATTTTAATCAATTTTAATTCAATTTGTAACTAGACGATACTACTATATTACTATACTACTATACTAGATCGGCCTTCCAATTTAACACCACTCTGAGATACCTACAAATGATGATAAATTATTTTTATTTTGTGCGTTTGAATGAAAATGTCAACATCAAAATTTTGAGTGAGAAAATAAAAGAGAATAAAATTTGATAAAATAGTAGTATTTTCTCAATTGGCCAAGCCTATCAATAGAAGGTTTTTGACTATTTATTTTTTTAAAGAAATAAAGTCCAAGTACGTTATCATAATCATACATGCACTACCATTCACAACAACTAGTACGTTAAGCATACTTTAAAACATTTCACAATATGAAAAGTAGCTTTTTGTATTGTAGCCAAAATTCCAAAAAGTAAAGCAAAAGAGTCGTGTCCGGTGCTGCCAACTATTTTTGAAAATGTGCCAATAATATTTTTTGAAGCACTCATAATTTTTTACAAATTAATATATATTCTATACTTCTTAACCTTTTTCAGCTCAAAGACCGGAGTTCGATCCTATGACTACCTATTTAAAATGGTAACAGAGGTGTCATCACATTACATGATAGATGAAATGTGCCGACAATATAAGAAAAGTTTATGCCAAATTTCTTTTAACATCACTAATATTATTTAAATAGCTCTTATAAAGTTTCCTCAAAATTTTATGAATCTATAAAAATATTATATCATAAACCAGGCCAGTCTTATAAAAATTGGGGACCTATACAATAATATTACTTTATGCTAATATAAAAATATGTATTAAGAATTTTAAAATTTTAAATTATAATTTTTTTTTTGAATATATAGTAAAAATTAAAAATTGATCAATATGTTCTAAAGTAAAGACTAATATGATCTATCTATTTGGGATAGATTTGTGTTTGTATCTTGTTAATGCATGTTTGGTGTACAACATTCATTAGCATGCTTTTGGAAGAATTTTGGCCACAACGAGAGTTGGGTCAAGATTTCGAGTCACTCCTTGCATAAACATGATTTCTGCGATCTTCCAGGAATCTATGATAAGAGATCAAATTGGAGGATTTTGATGCTTTGTGTGCTTGATGGACTTGAAATTAATACGTCACAAGAGTGTGCAATTCCTTGTTCTAACCATTGTTTATTAATCACGAGAGTGACTAATATACTAAGATACCTGCATGCATTCCCTCAATCCTTTTATTTTGTGTTATTACCCAATCCTATAAGTCTGCTTGCTTTTAGATAATTATAATCCCTAACTTGAGTCCTATTTCATTTACTTTGCGTTATTTTCTTGTTAATATGTGTTTGTCTTGTCTTAGTTCATTGTCTTTGCCCTTGAATTGCTTAGCTTCTTGTGTATTTTCTAAGGTTAATGCTAGTTGTTTGTTGTCACATATTGCGTGTCATATCTCTAATCCCTAGAAAACAACAAACTTCTCATGATCCCTAAAGCTACATCAATGACTCAGATTAGTCTACACTTTTCACTGGGCGCCTAATTCTCATTTGATCCTGATTAAATATTGTTGAAAAATTGACTATTTTTGACATATAGAATGACCATTTTCAAGCATAGTTTTGAGTGAGGTCTATTTTTAATTGGGATCGGGTTAAAGTGGATTTGAGTTATCATAAGTGAGAGCTTTAATTTTATATAAATACAAAAATGAGTCTAAAATTAAAAGTGAAAAGACTTTACTTGTGTGCACTCGTGACCTACGTACAAGAGTGTCCCATTTTGCCAAATTCTCGAACTCCTTTCCCACTATTTTTCCTAAGTGGTGAGCTGCCAGCGGAGCTTAGGTGTTATTTGATATTAATGTGAGGGTTACGAATTTTATTTTCCTCTCCCTCAAAAATCATTCTTCTTTCCTTGAAAAGCTTTGCCAACACTTTGATTAAATTTACGAAATGCTCACCTTGTTTAAGTTTGTTGAAACCATTATATTTAAGTGCTCAAATATAATATTATAATCATTTTATCCTAGTAGATTGATGCTACAATGATGAATTGATTTTATTTTTGCGTCATATTAAAAAAGAACATTTATTTATTTATTTTGCGTCATATTTCAAAATGAGCATATAGTAAGATGAGACTCCTACTAATTTAGTACTCCGTATTTTTTTTTATTTTCTTGTAATAAGGCTAAATAGGTCAGCTTGCCAGCTTGATCAGTCTAGCCTGACTAGCCAAGAGTTTGAGTGTTTACCATTACATTAAAAATTATAGCTAACAGTAAAGACACAATTTCTGCCCATAACTTGTTCTGATATAATTTTTTTTAAAGATTAAACGTTTATCACTATGTCAATCTGTAACTAGTAGCGAACGTGTAATTTTATTTCATTATACTTGTGAAATAATTAGCATCATATTTTGATGACGGGATACTATCTCGATTCTTTGAGCCGCTGCCCAACATATATTACATACATGGTTATATTTGATATTGAAAATTTGTAGTTATAGAATTTTAATCATAATTCTTACAACGGAAAGAAAAAGGAACTAGCTAGGGCATGGTGCGCGTGAGGCTCTTCTTTCTTCCCGTTGAAAGAAGTTTGTAAAAAAGATTAAAAGAAGAAACAAAAAAGTAGTTGTTTATAGCTTTCTTACGTACGATATTTCTCCATATATTAATTTCGACAATTAATGCTATTTATTTAAAGAAATAGGAAAAATCCAAGTACGTACCTCATCATAATGAATCGAGGTCTACCATCAAGGATAAGACTCTACTTTTGGACAAAATTTTAATTTTCCAGTGAACATGGACAATCAGACACGTTTTATTTATTTATTTATGGAAAAAGTGTCAAATAGGCAATTAAACTTGTATAGTTTGTGTAATTAAACCATCAAACAAAAAAGTGTGCAATTATGCGAGATTTTTCTCTCTGAATTTGCGATTCCTTCCTTCTCTTTGCTTGTTATTTTAGGAAGTTTTTGCGCCTTCCCCTAGCCGTTTACGGCGGCCTTGGGCTGATGGCGGCCATGTAGTCGCCGGAAGACGTCCTTGATCCTCCTCCGGAGGAGACAATGAATGATGCAGATCCATCTCTCCACTCTAACAAGAAATCTAAACGCTCCTTCGCTGATACTATCGCCTCCCAATCTCCGTTTAATGGCACCAACCCCCCTCAGTCTAAAGCTACAGAATGGGCTTTTACAGATCCAGAGATTGACGATGATGCGGTTTTTGATCCGAAAGACACCTCTGATGGGAGATCGAGAATACGGATATCCAAGGAACTCCGAACGGAGCTTTGTCAACAATGGAAGATGGCCCTTATTGTCAAATACCTTGGGAAAACGATGAACTTTAACGTGCTGAATCAGAGACTCCCAACTCTTTGGGGGATACAAGGAAGGGTCGAGCTTATTGATCTAGGATACAGCTGCTTTGTGGCTAGGTTTAATAATCGTACAGCTTATCTTCATGTTCTTATTGATGGTCCTTGGAAAATTTTTGATCACTACTTGGTGGTTCAACGTTGGGTTCCAAAATTCAATCCGGCAACCGCGAATATCTCAAAAATGGCGGTTTGGGTCCGTCTTCCAAGTCTTGCAGCTGAGTATTTCCGAGATGACGTGATTAAGAGTATTCTAGAGGGAGTTGGTAAACCCCTTCGGTTGGACAGAACCACCGCTGCCGTCGTTAAGGGGAGATATGCCAGAGGTGCCGTCGAAGTGGATTTAGACAAGCTGTTGGTGACGGAAATTTGGGTAGAAGATCAGCTGCAAATCATGGAGTATGAAAGTCTCCATGTCGTATGTTTTGGCTGTGGAATGATCGGATATCGCGAACAGTCATGTCCTCTCAGCAAGGAAAAAAACGTGAATGTGAACGAAATGGATCTTAATGAAACCCCAGTGGCTGAGGAAGATGGGGAATCTCAGCAGATGAACGCCAGTGACGCCCCGCCGAAACAACATCCGTCTACCACTCATGCCCTTTCTCTGACCATTCCAGCAAGGGTATCTAGGCACGGCCCCTGGATGCTGGTGACAAACAAAAAAACGGATAAACACCATGCAAAGAATAACCGACAGAACAAACAACATAATAGGCAGAATCGTGTGTCGGGAAACCAGTTTGAGTCGCTCGCCAACTTGGAGACCTCGGCTGGTGATTCCCAACCTCTGCAGCCGGTGGTGAGATCTTCCAGGGAGAAAGGGGAATCCTCTAGAGGTAAGTCTTCTTCTTCTCCTCACATCTCGCACCCCCACCACCATTCTAGAAATACTCTGCGTATCTCTACCCCCCCTAACGTAACCACCGCTGCTACGGAACCTCGCCAACCCCCTAATGGTTTTTCCAGAGGTAGGGGACGGGGAGGAGCTCGCCCGGGTGGCCGTGGGTTGGGGCGTGGGATTGGTGGTCGAGGTATTGAGAGTGTGATTGCGCCTGTCCCTTCGGGAATTAGCGCTGCTGTTGGGTTGAGCACTGCTGACTCTTCTCAGGTCTTCCAGTTCGGTGGCCTCACATCCAGAATGGAGGGTGATGGCATGGGTTCTGCCTCCCTGGGGATGGCAGTTGATAATTTTTGTTTCACGCCGGGGGAAGGCGGTTGTCAATCTTCCCCTCGTGCCAATCAGTCTTAATGAAAGTCATTTCGTGGAATTGCAGGGGCATTGTCAATGGGCGTGTCCGGAAGCACGTTAAAGAGCTTCTGGTTGCTAATAAAGTTGATGTCTGTTGCCTCCTCGAAATTCGCTCGACCAGGGCGGATAAAATGATCAATCTGGCTTCCTCGTTGGGCTTTTCTAATCATTTTATCGTTAACCCTCTTGGGTTTGCCGGTGGTCTGCTGTTATTTTGGAAGCAAGATCATGTTGATCTTACTATCTTGAGTTCTTCCTCCCAATCCATTCATACCAAGGTTTTGAATGGGACTGAGGAGGTTTTTATTACTTTCGATTATGTTAGACCTAACCTCTTGGCTAAGTGTAGGTTTTGGGAGGAATGCAAGATCCTCAGTAATAATATTCAGAACCCTTGGATTGTATTAGGGGATTTGAATGATATTGCTGCAGTGGAGGAACAATGGGGAAGTGATACCATCAAACTTAGTGGGCTCCAGAGATTTGTGGATGCCTATAGTAATTGCAGCCTTCTTGATCCTGGGCACTCGGGTCCTAAATTTACTTGGCAGCGGTTTATTGGTAATAGAGTTGTTCTCATGCGCAGGCTTGACAGAGTCCTGTGGAACGTTAAAGCTCAACAAGCCTTCCCGGAAGGCAAAAATCTGGTGCTCCCGAGGTTCCATTCTGATCACAACCCCTTGATGTTTATAGATCAAGTTGGTAACCCTCCTGCGAGAAACCTTCGGCCCTTCCGTTTTGAGGCTGCCTGGTTGACGAGGAACGACTACGGCCAAATATGGGTTAAGGCGACCACTGGGAATAATAATAATATTGTGTCCACTATTGAGTCCATCACCAATGAAAGTAAGCGCTGGAACAGAAAACATTTTGGTAATATCTTTAATAGGAAAAGGCGCATCGAGGCTAGAATCAAAGGTATTCAGTCCGCAAGTAACTACAGTTCCTCAAGGTCTTTACAGAATCTCGACAGACTTCTTGCTAAAGAGTTCAACGAAATCCTTGATCAAGAAGAAGCCCTCTGGTTCCAAAAATCTAGAATGGATTGGATTAAAGATGGGGACAGAAACACCAAGTTCTATCACAGGGCGGCGTTGATTAGGAGGAACAAAAATCGGGTCAGATTTTTGAAAATCCATGGTGAGTGGACGGATAACCCGGTCTCTCTAACGCACCATATTTCAGATTTTTTTTCTTCTTTGTTATCCAGGTCTGGCGTAGTGGGTCATCCGACTTTCACCCCGATTGGTGCTAGAAATACTATCTCTAGGCTTGATTTCCAGGTTTTGAATCGTACAGCCACCTTGGACGAGGTCAAAAGAGCTGTTTTTGACATGAGGAAATTTGGTAGTCCTGGGCCGGACGGAATTCATGCAGCCTTCTACCAATTCTTTTGGAATGACATTGGGCAAACCCTCACGCTAATGGTCAATCAGGCTCTCGGTACGGGAGAGGTTCATAAATCCCTTTTGCAGACTTTTATGACTCTTATTCCAAAGAAAGAAATCCCAGAGACGGCAGCGGACTTCAGGCCAATCACCCTCATCAATGTTGCTTTTAAGGTAATTTCCAAAACCCTTGTTAACAGATTAAGACCTATTATGTGCAAGTTAATTGGGCCCCATCAAAATAGCTTTCTCCCTGGTCGGTCCACTATGGATAATGTGGTCCTTACTCAAGAAGTCATTCACACTTTGAATCATAAACGGGGGAAGAAAAGCTTCATGGTAGTTAAAGTGGACCTTCATAAAGCCTATGATAGTGTAAGTTGGGATTTCCTTAGGGACTCCCTGATTGGGTTCGGTTTCCCAGGTAAGCTTATTGATCTCATCTTGTTCTCCCTAAAAGAGAGCGAAATTTCTATTCTTTGGAATGGTGGCCGGCTTAGTTCCTTCGTTCCGGGTAGGAGTCTTCGTCAAGGTGACCCTATGGCCCCTTATCTTTTTAATCTTGTGATGGAAAGGCTAGCATACGATATCCAGAATCTTGTCTCCACAAATTCTTGGAAACCCATTCATATTACGCCGGGAGGGGGGGGGGGGGGGGTATTGGTCTCTCTCACATTTTCTTTGTGGATGATTTATTACTCTTCGGGGAGGCCTCAACCCATCAAGCCTCCATTATTATGGATTGTCTCAACCGGTTTAGCAATGCCTCGGGGCTTAAGGTAAACCTCTTAAAGTCCCAAATTTTTTGTTCTCCTAACATTGATGCAAGTTTGGAAGGTAGAATTAGTGACATGATGGGCATTCCGGCCACATCTCATCTGGGGTCCTATCTGGGCATGCCTATTCTCCAGAAAAGAATCACCAAAGATACCTTCTCATCTATTATTGACAAGATGCGCCGCAAACTCGCCAACTGGAAAGCAAGTGCTCTCAGCATGGCGGGTAGGAAGACCTTGGTTCAAGCCTCACTGGCGTCTATCCCAACCTACACGATGCAATCAATGGCTTTACCGGTAAGTACTTGTAAGCTCATTGATAAGGTTTGCAGGAACTTCCTTTGGGGCCACACGGATGATACGAGAAAAATCCACACGGTCAGCTGGGACGATATTTGTAAACCAAAGCTTCACGGTGGTCTTGGCCTTAGGAAAGCCCAAGATTTCAATATGGCTTTCCTAACCAAGATGGCCGGGCATGTCCTTACCCATCCAGACAAGCTTTGGGTTAAGATCATGAAGGAAAAATACGTCAAAAATGGGAATTTCTTTTCCACGCCTGTCACGGCTAACAGCTCTTGGGGTTGGCGTAGCATAATGAAAGGTAAAAATATCCTTTGTAAGGGCCTTCGTTGGAGAATTGGTACAGGTGCTTCCATAAGCTTTTGGCACGATAGATGGGTAGGTGATTCTCCGCTGGCTGAGACCATTCCCCTCCCGGCTACGGGGAATTGTTCCAACCTGAAAGTCAGGGATGTGATGCTAAACAATTGTGCTTGGAATATTGATGCTCTGGAATCTCTCGTACCTGTGAATATCATCCACCAAATCCGTGCCATTCCCATCCCGGTTACAAGCCAGATAGATAGACCTTTCTGGCCACTCTCAAACTCAGGTATAGTCACGGTAAGTTCGGCCTTCTCCTTTATTTCAGGTACCGGAGATAGCTCCTTGGATTATGAGTGGATCTGGCGGCTCAGATGCAAGGAACGGGTGAAGTTTTTCATCTGGAAAATCCTCCACAATGGCCTACTGGTGAATGCAGAACGGGCTAAGAGAGGGCTCACGAGTGATGCATCCTGTCCAAGATGCGGTTTGGAAGAAGAGTCGTTAGACCACCTTCTCAGACGCTGCAGGCTGACGAACGACTGCTGGAACAGCTCCTCTCCGCCAGTCCTCGCCATCAGTAACCACCTTCCTCTCTCGCAGTGGATTGAAAAGGCTTGCAGTGGAAAAATGCAGAGTTCCATGAATGACCGTTGGCACCTCCTGTTCCCCCACATCCTTTGGAACATTTGGAAAGCTAGAAATGAAGTGGTTTTTGACAACTTTTGGCCTACGACAACGGAGATCCTTAAGAGAGCCAGAAGGAGTGAGCTTGATGATTACCAAGCTCTCTTCAAGCATAACGGAGTGATGAATGCTAAGCAAATCTGGGTTCACTGGACTCCCCCTCTCGCCGGCATAATAAAGCTCAACTCCGATGGGGCTAAGAAAGCTACCTCTAGCATGGCTAGCGCTGGAGGCCTTCTTCGTGATCACAAGGGGACTTGGTTGATGGGCTTCACTATTAAAATTGGGATCACGAACAGCTTCGTTGCAGAGCTTTGGGGACTCCGGGAAGGCCTTCGCGTTGCTAAACATTACGGCTATGCCAATATTGCAGCTGAATCTGATTCTATGGCTGTTATTCAAGTACTCCAAGCTGAGGAAGGTCCTTTATTGGTGGAAGATTCCCTTATTCTTGATTGCAAGACTCTTCTACACAGCTTCAATATGTTCACTCTCTCTCATGTCCTTCGGGAAGGGAACCAATGTGCCGACTATCTCGCCAATTTGGGTCAGACTTCTTCGTGGGGAACGACGATTCTTCATGATCCTCCTGCCGGCCTTTTCCCGCTACTTATGCGGGACGCAAATAGCGTTGCAACTAGAAGACTTTACTAATCTCCCGGGGCCTTAGGCCCTTTTTCCTACCAAAAAAAAAGTGTGCAATTAAAGCATTAAACCTGCAAAAAAAAGTGCAATTATCATTTTTTACATGTTGCTCCAAGTTAAAAGAGTTAAATTGATGACTTGACATTTAATATAATTAATTTTAAAATGTTAATGCTTACGTGAATGATTACGTGGCAATAACATAAGTTATATATAAATATTTATTTTAATTATTATTTTAACAACTATTAAACAAAAAAAAAAAAACATTCAAGTGAAGGGCAGCCCTGGCTGCCGCCTCCTTTGTCCTTCATGATCAAATCTTTAACATCAGTGATAGTAGGTTGCAACTGTTGTACTGTTAACATAGATGTTAGAACCAACACTACAAACACCCAAACTATGATCACAAATCTTGATAAATTGTTTAACATCCTCTCCCCTGATTTTAAGAATCGCTATAAAAACAATCTGACTCTAAGCAATGTACTGCATAGTTTTAGTACTTACTATGTGCAAATTAAACACAAGAGTTGAGAAGGAGAACCAGAAGATCATTCCAATTTGCTTGTGGCATGGACTTTGGAACTCTTTGTTTTCTTGGTGTTCAAGTATCCAAACAACTGTGCCAATAAAGACAAGGAAGTGGCTCTGTTTTTTTTTTTTGTTTGTTTTTTAATTTATAAAAAAATAATATTATATTATTTTTGTTAAATAATTAAAGGAAAAATTATTTAATTTTTCATGTGGCATGTTAAATTAAAAGTTAATCGCCAATTTGTTACTTACCTACAAATAATACTAATCGCAAACATTTTTAATCTTAAATGGTTTAATTGCACACTTTTTTTGTTCGATGGTCTAATTGCACGAACTATACAAGTTAGATAGTTTACTTAGCTTCTTGGATAAATTCTATTTTTCATGGGGGTTTTAGATGCTTTGTATGCATGAAGGACTTAGAATTGATGTGTAGCGAGAGTATGGTAGGACAATTATATTCCTAGTCTTAATCCTTCTTTATATGATAATAAGAGTGGCTTGTATACTATGATTCTTGTGTGCATTTCGGTTAATCCATTAATTTGGTGTTTCAACCCCCAATCCTATAATTTCCTTTGCATCTAGAAGATTACGCTTCTTTATCTGAATCTTTATTTTCCTTGCATTCTATCTCGTTTTTATTGCCTCATTTACTTATTATTTATGTTGAGCATTGCTTGAATTTTATGATTTGCATAGCTTCTTTTATATTTTTTTAAACTTACTAGTTCATTGTTATTGCATCTTACATGACATAACCTGCAATTTCTTAAGGATGACATTTCATACCCGTGCATTCTATATTGCCCATATCACCTAGCTAGCAAAGGCTAACAAAGAGGTAAACTATCTTAGGATTGACCATAGTTGATTGACTTTTAAGTTGAGAGAAGTTAAATTTAAAATCTTTAATTACCATCCAAATCGCCCCATCAACTCAACTAAGATTGCAACCATTATCTTTTAATTATTGTCATTAATCAATGTGAGTGTCAATTTTTCTAGACGGATTTTCCTCTTTTATTTTTTAAAACAACAAAAATATTTAAATAATATTTTTTATGTCATCGTAAATCTATTTCAATATATTTTATTTCTCATTTATTATAGAATAACATTTATCTTCTCTTTAGAGTCATCACAACTTTATTCTTCCCAAAAGATTGAATTCTCAGTCTCAAGGGCCCCAAACCCCGACCTGAAAAAGCATTTGGGAGGATGTAAATCATACTAACTCAACTGAACACAGAAGTTAGACCTTTGCTTACTGCACACAAGGAGCCTCTCACTTTGAAAGGTTGCTCACACACTACCGCTGGTGAGACTCGATCCCTGGTATCAGATAAGCCAAATAGATCCTATGGCCAATAACCAAATTCCTTCCCAACTCTGGATTCACCGGATAGTTCGACGGATGCCGTTCCTGGCTTCGATCGCCGACCGCCCAACATGCTCCAACAAGCCCACCACTGTCTCCATCAAATTAACCTCCACCAATTATCTCTTCTGGAAAGCACAATTAGTGCCATTTTTACGTGGCCAGAACTTATATGGGTATGTCGACGGTACCCAGACCTGCCCCTCGGAGACACTCGCCGGCTCTTCCACATCGACTACTCCGGCTACCAACTCCCTTCGCGATGTGTGGATCTAACAGGATCAATCAATCCTGAGTATGTTGATCTCCTCAATGGCGGAGGAAGTCCTGTACTTGGCAATCGGGCACAACACGTCGCGCTCTGTCTGGCTCGTCGTCGAAACTGCTTTGGGCTCAACCTCTCGCGCTCGATCGTTGAGTCTCCTCACTCAACTCCAAGGTCTCCGGCAGGGAGACTCGTCACCGGCTGACTACCTAGGCAGAGCGCAGGTCCTGGTCGAGCAACTTGCGCAAGCCGGTAGACCGATCGATTTTGACAAGCAAAACCTCCATGTATTCCGGGGGCTTCGACCGGAATACAGGAGCCTCGTCGCTTCCCTCACCACCAAAACTACACCGCTATCAATCCCAGAGGTTGCTGATATTCTAGCCACTCATCACTACCTGTTTCCAGAAGAGTCAACCCAAGCTCCTCTTCAACCGCCGGCAGCCATGGTGGCTCAGTACCCACCCAGCAATGGACAACGAGGCCGCGGTGGCCGTGGTGATCGGAACAACTACCGGGGCCGCGGCAGAGGACAAAGAGGACGTGGCGGTGTAAGGTGTCAATTGTGTGATATTGTCGGCCATACTGCACTTACCTGTTATCAACGATTTGTTGATGTTGGTGGCCACTGTCTACAAAACAACTAGCCTCCACAACATGTGCCCATGCAGCCACAAGCTCACCTGGCTTCTCAACAAACCCAGGATGATTTCAACACAGCTCCTTTTTCCAACGTGTGGTTCCCCGACACCGGCGCTAATGCTCATGCAACACCTAACGTAGCGGCGCTGAATAATGTTGAACAATATGGAGGTGACGAGACATTACGCGTTGGAGACGGTTCAGGTCTGTCTATCTCAAACACATGTTCGCTTTCTTTATCGTCTAAGTCTCGGTCACTGTTTCTACATAGCGTTCTGCATGTTCCTAAGTTACGTGCGTCATTACTGTCCGTGCAAAAATTTACACGTGACAATGACGTCTATTTTGAATTTCATCCGTCTCATTTTCTTGTGAAGGACCGTACAACCAGTCAAGTTCTTCTTAGCGGACCCAGTCACGGCGGGATGTATTCACTCGCCACGACTTCACCCGTTGCGTTAATTTCAGCAAAAGCTTCTCCCAAAGTGTGGCATAACGCCTTGGTCACCCCCATATTCGAGTCTTGCGTCCGGTTCTTTCTAGTTGTCCTGTCAATGGATCTTTTTGATCCCTTAATAATCTGTGTACGGCGTGTCAGATGGTTCTAAATATTTCGTGATTTTTGTTGACGATTTTTCGCGTTATATTTGGTATTATCCGCTTAAATTCAAGTCTGATATATACTCTGTTTTTTCCAAGTTTCGTGCCTATATTGAAAATTGTTTCTCTACCACTATAAAATGTGTCCAATCCGATATGGGCGGTGAGTACCGAAAACTTCACTCAGTGTTCACCGCAGCATGAATTGCCCATCGGCAATCAGCCCCCCATACACACGAGCAAAACGGCCGTGTAGAGCGCCGAAATTGCCATATAGTTGAAACCGGGCTAACCTTACTTGCCCAGAGTTGTGTCCCACAAAAGTACTGGTCCTATGCGTTTGAGTCAGCGGTTTATTTAATAAACCGCCTCCCGTCCACAGTTTCCCAAAATATAAGTCTCTATTCTCGTTTGTTTCACAAGTCACCGAATTATAATATATTGCGGGTGTTCGGGTGCGAATGTTTCCCGTGCCTTCGCCCGTATAACAGTCACAAGATGGATTACCGGTCCACTTCTTGTGTGTTTCTGGGATACCCAGAGTCTGTTCTTGGTTACAGGTGTTTAGACAAAGATACTGGACTTGTGTATGTTGCGCGGCATGTGCGCTTCAATGAAGAAGTTTTTCCCTATCAAGCCATGCAACACCCAATATCAGCTCCCGTGCCAACCAACACCGCTCCTCTGCCTTGGGCGAGTGCTCAGCTCAGTCAGCCGACACCCACTGCCGTGCCACAACCACCATTGCAGTCCCAACTGCCCCAACCGTCGGTGCCGCAACCCCAGCAACCATCCAGTTCATCAAAGCAGGCAGCCTCCTCGTCCTTTCAGCCGACTACCTCGTCAACAACAACAGGGAGGAGACGCCGCACTGTAAGGCCGAATATACGCACTCACGGCATGAAGTTGCGAGTGGGAACACATGCACGGCGACGACCAACAGCTTTGATAGCCTCTATAGATGATGTTGAACCTACTTGCCACACCCAAGCTGTCAAGTCATCCCACTGGCGCGCCGCGATGGATACTGAGTTCAATGCTTTACTACAAAATGACACATGGCGTCTAGTGCCGGCTCGCAACGACGTGAATGTCATCGGCTGCAAATGGGTGTTCCGCATCAAGCGGAAGTCCGATGGCTCAGTTGAACGCTACAAGGCTCGCTTAGTAGCCAAAGGGTTCAATCAAATTCCTGGAGAGGACTACCGAGAAACGTATAGCCCCATGGTCAAACCGACCACTATTCGGCTACTTCTAGCGTTCGCGGTGTCCACTAAATGGACTATGCGCCAGTTGGACGTCCACAACGCGTTCTTAAATGGCCACATCGAGGAGGACATATATATGCGTCAGCCGCCAGGCTACACGAATCCCAATTTTCCAGATCACGTGTGTAAATTACAACGCTCGTTGTACGGGCTTAAACAGGCCCCCCGTGCGTGGTTTAAAAGATTACACGATTTTTTGCTACAAATTGGCTTCCGGCCATCCAAAACAGATATATCTTTGTTCATTTTTTACTCAGGACAAGACCGGGCATATATACTGGTATACGTCGACGACATACTACTCCTGGGCAATAATCCCAACATGTTTACCACCGTGATAGGTCAGCTAGCTGAGTCCTTTCGGATTCGAGATCTCGGGGTGCCGCGGTTCTTTTTGGGGATTGAGGCTACTTATAGTGGTGATGCCTTGATCCTGTCCCAACAGCGTTACATGACAGAGTTACTCCGCAAAGCTGGCATGGAAACTTGCAAACAGCTGGCCACTACCCATGTCGCTGGTTGTGCCAACTACCACGGATTCCCCACTACTAGACGACCCGATGCCTTACAGGAGTCTAGTTGGTTCGTTGATGTATCTTCTGATTACAAGGCCGGACTTGTCCTTCTCAGTTAATCGTCTATGCCAATTCATGCACAACCCGGCAGAAGATAACTGGGCAGCTCTCAAGCGGGTACTTCATTATGTTCAAGGAACGCGACATCTTGGACTGCGTCTTGTTCCATCCACCGCTCCAGCAATACACGCCTTCTCTGACTCGGATTGGGCCGGGTGCTCCGTGGATCGCAAGTCAACTGCTGGCTACGCCGTTTTCCTCGGGCCCAACCTTGTTTCTTGGGTCTCACGGAAGCAACGCACGGTTGCGCGTTCTTCAACAGAAGACGAGTACAAGGCCCTTGCAGATGCGTCAGCTGAGGTAACTTGGATCAAATCTCTTTTACAGGAGCTTGGTTTACGCCCGTCTATGGTTCCCGTGCTGTGGTGTGACAACTTAGGGGCCACGTACTTGTGTGCTAACCCCGTGTTTCAATTCATGCACGGACCAAACACATCGAGGTGGACTACCATTTTGTCAGGGACAAGGTCGCCTCCGGAGGGTTGAAAGTCAACTTCGTCTCGACACATGATCACCTTGCAGATATCTTCACCAAGCCCCTTTCCTCGGCACGACTAAGCGACTTACGTTTCAAGCTGGGCGTGGTCTCCTGTTCCCCGTCAGCTTGAGGGGGAGTGTTAGACAGTTAGATATTTAGGCCTTGTTAGAGTTTATTCAGTGGTTGTTAGCTATCTCTTAGTTAGTTCTCTGTGTATAAATAACTCTGTAAGTCTCTCTGTTTAAAGCGTGAAAACATTGTTCATTAATCTTCCATAATATTTAGTTTTTTTTTTAACCTAGATTTACCGGATTCATCATATTATATCTTGAACCCCATAAACCCATCATATGGTATTGATCTAATGTATGAGAAGACTCACTTAATTAAGACTTACTTCTGATCTAACGATAAGGTAGAAGTTTGATTCTTATTGCGAACATTAAAGATTTGGATTTCATTTCAGCTAGACTCTTTATACACAAAAATATACTCCATATAAATTAGTGTTGAGTATAAAAACAAGATTAACCCGATTTAGTCAAATGATTGCAAATAAACTAACGCTTCAATTCGGAGGCCAATATACGAGCAAAAAGTTAACATGGAAATTTATTTAGTCGACATTATTGATTCGATTTTTCAAAAGTGTTGAAATGTGTGTGCTTAATTCGTGAATGATACTATGACACGTATCCTAAAACCGGCCACTCACAAATTTAATTATTATTTTAAATGTGACATTTCATAATTAATGGCAATGGCAATGTTTCAAAATAGGGAAATTGTAAAAAAGTCCCTCTATAATATGTCAATTATTAATGTCACCCCTGAATTATGAGTGGTGTAAATGTTGCCCCTCAATTATTAAAACGGTGCACATATAGCCCCTCCCGTAACGGACATGTGGTTCCCCATTAGTGTACGACACCGTTAAGTCAGAATAAATATGTAATTTAGTTGTTTTTTCCCTCCCTCGATTCGAAGTACCAGCGATGGACAGCGGTGGGGAACCACATGTCCGTTACGGGAGAGGCTATATGTGCACCATTTTGATAATTGAGGGGCAACATTTACACCACTCATAATTCAGGGGTGACATTGATAATTGGCATATTATAGATGAGCATTTTTTACAATTTTTCTTTCAAAATACTTTAATTAGGATATCTTCTCCCAAAAGATTGAATCTTCAACCCCAAAAGCTCCTCATACTTCGATCAAACAGAGAATTTGGGAGGATATAAATCATAATGACTCAAGGGCTCAACAGACATGACCAAATACTGGTGAGTACAAGTTGATTTGAACATAATTCCCACCTAAAGTTTTAACCATTATTATAGGATAGACCGGGTGACTCAATTGGCCGAGTTCTATTACATGTACTATTTATCACTACTCCATCACTTTTACTAACAATGTAACAAATGATGATAGATTATTTTTATTTTCCTCCGAATGAGAATGTTGACATTAAAATTTTGAGAGAGAAAATAAAATTTGATAATAGTAGTATTTTCCCAATTGGCCTAGCCTATCAATAGAAGGTTTTTGTTTAAAGAATTAAAGTCCAACTACGTTATCATAATCATACATGGACTACCATTCACGACAAGGCAAATTATTGGTCTATACATTGATGTGTGAGTCATAACAAAAATTACATTTTTAATATATTAAAAGTACATTATTCATGTATTAAATATATATTATATAAAATAATATATTTTCAGTACTTAAATAATATACTTTTCCTAAATACAATATACAATTTTAATATATTAAAAATAGATTATTTATATATTAAATATACATTATTTAAAAATATGATTCACACAATAATAATTGTCATGACAGCAAGTACGTTACGCATGCTTTTATACATTTCACAATATGAAAAGTAACTTTTTGTATTGTAGCAAAAATTCCAAAAAGTAAAGCAAAAGAGTCGTGTCAGAGCTGCCAACTATTTTTGAAAATGTGACAACGATATTTTTTGAGACACTCATAATTTACAAGTT